GCGGAAGTGACCATTGCACTTTAACCCTGAAAGGGTGGAATGAGAGGTTAGAGATCCGGGCAAGGGTATTACCGAGCCTGACGCGAACCGCCCCAGAGCGCACAGTCGACGCGCGTGTGGCGGGCGAATTCGACAATCTGCGCTTAGCCGATCCAGCCTTTTACCGCTCGAGTGCGATATCAATGGTATTGGGAGCCGACGCATATGCGGTAAGTTTGCGTCCGGGTTTGATGCCCGCGACACCCACTAGACCAGCCGCGCAGAATACGATATTCGGATGGGTCATATCAGGAGCAACCCCCTATGGCTGGAGCTGAAGAAGAGACCGACTAGTTAGCATTTAAACAAAAATAAATTTATTGAATTTTAAGATGTCATTTGAATTTTTGAATTTTGGATTAGTGAATTAGTTTATTTTATATTGCAGCGATCCTGCAAGGCGGGCGGCATGTTTAGGCCTGCATTTTAGGGTTAAGTTTAGCATACAAACCTCACCGAGAGATGTCGCTGCTAATCACTCGCTGACAGGACTCGTTACGTTATCTCCCTTTTGGCACGAGTCCTGTTAGTCAATCCCATTGGCAGATTCCACCTTCCGTGGAATCTATAAATGCGGCAAGTCACTATAGTCTCCCTCTTTTTTCTGATTCGACAGCCAGCGACAACTCAGGTGAGTGAATTCGTTCCTATATATTTATAGTAATATACTTATATAAATAAATTAAACGTGAATTGTGCCTATTATACAAAAACCCAATTTGTTAATGCCATTGGAGATTAGAATATTCGTGAGAGTAAGTAAAAGATTGTCTTAAAGAACCGGCTCCCCCATTGATCCCCGTTGCCGGAATCACGAGGATTCTCGGCCCCTATATTGCCCCGCTCGAACAGTAAATATGGGTGCAATTTAATGTAATGTAATTTGGATCAAAGTGAGTGAGTACAAGATAAAATAAGATAAAAGTGTGTAAACTATTAGGTAGAGTGTTATGTGCATTTACATATATGAAAGGATGTGCAAAAGCACTTTGTGATAAGGAAATCAAGTGGAACGACTTAAGAAATTTTAACATTAAATAACTGATACACAATTATACCGTTTATATTTTTTTAGTTATATTTGTTTTAGAGGACACCTCCCTTAACATCCTAACCATGTTTCATTTGTTAATTCCACCTGGTTTTCGTTAAACAAAAGGTGTGGCTGAATTCTAAAGCCCACCCAAAGAAAGAGCAAAAGCGGATTACGGAAAAAAAATTTTCTATAATTAACATATCGAATTGGACAAAAGGCTTAGCTTAGGTGAAATTGCTTCAGTTTAAGGGCCGTTTACTCAATATATGGTTAACACTAATGTCCGTTTAAACATCATTATCGACGTGTTTGGCTCCATGCATATAACATGGAGTCGGTAACGTCGATAACGATGTTTTACCGGAGATTAGTGTTAACCAGACATTGAGTAACCGGCCCTAAGACAGACACTTAAAGAACTTTTCTATTTAAAGCAGTGGTGCACACGAGAATCTCCGGGAGCTACTGGGCTTTCACATACAAGTCGTGTGTTAGTTTGAGTTTGCTAGTGTACGCATACCAATACAAAAATGTTTCGCTAGTTTGTTAGCTCTGTCGACGCTGTGCACCACTGCTTTAAAGCCATTAGCAAACGCAAACTAACACACGACTTGTATGTGAAAGCCAAGTAGCTCCCGGAGTGTGCACCCCTGATTTAAAGCAACAAAGTAAAATCTTAATAAGAGCTGTTTTCATTATAAAGACTTGCTCAATCAGCAGCGGTATGCTACCGCGCGGTATACTCCGTATGTCATGTTTGCTCATAGAGCACTACTGCCATGATGGCAGTATTGCCGTTGTGCGACTAAAGGGACAATTTGACCGTTTTTAGGCGCCAATACCCTTTGACCCGAATTTTTGAAAATTTAGATTTTTTATCCTTTTTTTAAATTAATGGTGACTTTTGCCCCTTTTCAGAGATTTTTTTTTAGGAAATGTTAACCGAACCATGCTACTAAAAAATATTTCCTCCTGTGAGTACTAAAAAATGTTTCACTTATAACTTTTAAAGGAATGCAATACTTCTTCTTGCAGTAAACCGATTTCTGTGTTTTGTTCAAAGCTTGTCCCACTATTTTCTTTTAAATTCAAAGGCGGGACGTTCTAGCAGCGAAATGAATTTGTAGTACATGCAAATTTGATTTTGACTTTGGATCTCAGATTTATTCTATTACTAGTAAAGATAAGCAAAAATAATATATTGACCCTGTTTTTCGTCAATTACCCCTTTTTTGCGAGTTTCTGAAAATAGCCAACGGCAATACTGCTGCCATGCATCTAACAGAGAGTAGGTAACATGGATAACGATGTTTAACGGAGGTTAGTGTTAACCAGAGATGTCGAAAAGGACCCTAAGGCAGTTTTTTTAACGTCTGGTTATTACTACAAACATCGTTAAACATCGTTATTGACCCTACATTGTTATGAGGGTGCCTGCTGGGTAAGACGAGGTGGTTTCCTGGCATGGTAGCAGGCCCAGGCTTAGCTCGCCGGATGGGGTGTTGCTCCACTCGCCTTACCTAACTCTACATAAACAAAATTGTTGTCATGCCTGATCTCAAATCGAAACAAGAAGAGGAAAAAGTGAACTGAAGCAACAAAGGAAGAAAGTTAAAAGAGAAGGCCCGTCCCATCAGGAGGAGTCGTCCCTCCCCTTCTGCGTGTCTCATACGCAGCCATGGGCGTTGCGCCGACTCCTAACATTATTGCAACGCCCCTAAGCCTGAAATCGTACGTCTATCTTTTGGTACATCAGTCCTGTCGCTGACCCGTCATTAGTCTACGCTCCCACGTCCCCTCTTAGGCCCCAGTGTAACACCCACACCAAACACTAAATCTTCACCACTTCATTTTTAAATAAAGAACTCTTCATCCATTTACAGTCAATATGCATATACTCATTTATTACTTATTTCACTACTACTTCTCAATTCTGTACAATTCTATACTATCCTAGTTCAAAATGCAATTGGATAAAACTACTACTCAAATCTGGTCGTTAACAAAATTCCAATTTTTCAAGGTTTCTACTATTTAATCTAATCCAACAAAAGTCTTAAATTCAAATATAAAGTATATTTTTTTCTTTTTATAAACAAATAATACATATAATAACAAGGGTTAAATTCTATGAAGCGTAAAAAATGTGGGAAATTATGAGAAGAAAAATGTCCAATTCAAAATTTAATTTATTTTTTTTTTTAATATTTCTATTGAGCTTTGTACCACCATTGTTTATTAGGAAAAATTGAAAAAGCAACAATCTAAGCGGTAGAAGTTATAGCACTTTCTCGGAGATCACCACATCTCCTCATCAGACTTCTTTTTTCTAGACTTCAGCAGGCACCGAACCTGCGTATTCGATGTTCAAAGTCAGAAGCGTTAACCACTGAGCTATGTACATCCCGTAAACTCTTGTTGCTAATTCATTTTCCTTATTCAACCAACTACTATCAAGTGCAGCTGATTTGCCGCTATTTAAACTCGACAGCGTGGTTGTTGTT